GTAAGGACGATGAGGTTCTCCAGTGATGACCAGAGTAGATGTCTGAAGGATGATCTGCTTCCAAGAATTCGGGGAATCATCCCCAACGCACTTATGGCAGCTTCAAGCAATGAATGGTGCTTGCAGGGACAGCTTGCAATTATTTGATGCCTTCACATCCTGTAAAATGTCAACAATGATGATTCCGGTCAGATAAAAAAAAAGGAAAAGCACGCCTTGTGTTCATTGCTTCAGTTCATGCGATGAACTGGCCAAACCAGTTCAATTATTATTATCAACAAACAATACATGATTAAAATGACTTTCCTGCCACTCAAAATAGTTTGCAAGACTGACAAACAGGATAGACTGAGCTATGACACTTCATGTATATGACTTCTATTTTTAGTTGAAAACGGACACTATGGTCAGACAGTCAGAATTAATTAGTAGAGCACTTTTTTTTTCATTCCAGTTCATTTTAGAGAAGAGCACCGAAGCCTTTAGCAGGTCAAATGGCCCATTATATTGCTCACTTGACCAACCCTCCCAAGAAGATTCTGTTAGTATGTCAAACTCAAGCTTAATTTCACCGCTGAATAAAATTTGAGCACAAGAACCCCCTATCTTGAGGTGCATGCAATAGCAGGTCAAACAGACACCGGTGACTTGACTCTATGATTTTTCTATCAGCATGCATAGTCAAATTCAGGCTTCATTTCACTAGTCAGGATCAATATGGAGGATAACGATGGGGTTACAATTCCATGTAGCTTTATATATTATCAATTATGTAAATAAATTTCAGGAGTCCAGTGTGTAGTAAACCACAAGACCTTCAGGCAGAGATTCTAGCAAGTAAATTGTATGTTATACTATGTAAGGCTACAAAATGGAAACACATGACAGTTGTAGGAAGGCAAAAACACTAGACATTACAATGCATAATGGACAACTTTGTTGGCAAGATTGAATCTGATTGCCATAAGAAACTTGGAAGCAAAGAATGCAGAGCCATTCAAGATTAACATACTATGAGCTTGTTCAATTAATTTAGGTAAATCCTAGTTTGCTTATTTTGCACAGAACCAGCAACCCCTAAAAGCTAAGGTTGTTATTGTCAATAACTCATAAAGGCTATCCAAATTTAGACGCCTTGTAAGCCAGCTAAATATTTTGCTTCTGCTGAAGCAGATATAGTTATACTTAAGATCAAAAAAGGAGAAAGAAATCAAAAATATTATTAGTAGGTCGACCAGTAGGCCTTATTTTGGTGATATATGCCAGAACTCGAGGTAGACAAGCCTATATGTAGGATTTTAATTATTCAAAGTGCTTAGCTTTTATCATAAAGTCTCCACTTCAAAGCTTTCCAGAAATAAGATGGGGCAACCAAATTCAACGATACCTAGGGCTTGGCAACTTAGCATACTTTAGAATCTCAATGGCATCATTAAAGAAAAACATATAAGATCGTAAAGGTTCTGCTATTATAAGTGATACCAACAAGATTAATTCAACCTATTCATGATAGCATAACTAATACCTGAGTAGCAGTGTCCTTTATTTAATTTCTCTATTAAATATCTTAATAGGTGCAGTAAATAGAACACTACAGAGCAGAAAACAAAAAGAGTAAAAAATAGTTCTTCTATAAGTGTTGAGTTTTGACAAGGACACCCTCATCAGAAAAATAAGAAAAAGTGATGATCATATATGAATATTGATTATATTTTATTAATGCAAACCCCATATATAGTAGGACTCTAAAAATATATTATTAAATTTGCAAAAAAAAAAAAATATATTATTAAACATTCCGCCTGTATACATTCCATCCCCAAAAATAACTTAGGAAACTATTAACACAACTATAATACTAACTAATAATAACTATTAGAGCATCTCCAACAGATTACCTATCCTTCATCTCTTTAAAGTCTATATAGATGATCTCCTATTAATGGTAGTGTAGCCTTTTCTTCTTCTCCAACATATTACCAATATCTTTTTAAGTGGATATGGGAGAGGGGGTGGATCTCCTACATTTGAGGGAGAGGGCGTGGATTTTGAGTAATTAATTACTTAACACTTAGGTATTGGGGATAGGATGAGTAATTTGTTGGTGCAACCATAATTCCTTATATTGCTTTTTTTTGTATTGGGGATGAGATAAGTAATCTGTTGAAGATGCTCTTAGGTGCAGCAAGTAATCCTGTGCAGCCGCCCAATCCTTTTGCTTTTGAATTATTTATATGCTTTTCTTGTCAAAGAGGGCGTACCCAGTGCAGAGAGCTCCCGCTCTGTGCGGGGTCTGGGGAAGGGTGTCAGTGGCAAGCCTTACCCTCGCCTGTGCAATGCGAGGAGACCGCGACTCGAACCCGGAACCTTCCGGTCACAGGCGGTAAGACTCTACCGCTTGCACCATGCCCGCCCTTCTTTTCTTGTCAAAGAGAAGAACACAAAACAATTGTCCTTGTTTCTTAATTTTGGAAATGACAAAGGACCTATCTAGTTCAAGAAAACTAGTCATTTTGAAACATTTGAACTACTTTATGCATGTGTTAGCTAAAAAATAAAGAATACCCACACGTGTTATTGGGGTGAAGTCATGGTTTGTGTTAAAAATACGAAATACATTGTATGAAATATCTTTCAATATGCAATAGAACAGTCATGGTTCTTACATATTTCGTGCAAGTTTCATAACTAAAGACTAGCATTTGTAGTTCACCCAGAAAATACTTGATGGTAATCAAGTCTTGACGATAGTGAAAGAAGATCATGGTGAACTGTTCATCCTTCATTGGAGACAGGTGTCTCGTTTTGTTAGAAAGACTGCTACAATAAAGATGCATATCTAGGCTTTAGATGCCATCCTATGACGTAGCATCTAATCACCACCTAGTGGCTAGTGCCTAGCCTAGCGCTTTTTATCTCAATATGGCATTTTCTTGAGCAAATAAACCATAGTTATATATGCAGACTCCCAAGACAAGACTTAACACAACAATACCTTGTTTTTTTGTGAAAGGTTACAATACCTAGTTTTTCAGAACATCAATAAATATATAAGGAAAATTTCCATATAATATGTGTTGACATTTTATTGGTTTTTTTCAGGACAACAAACGTATGAGGAAGGGAATACTCTTGATTTGTTTTCATTGGAAACAACTTACCATCCCCACTTACACTGTTGATACAACAGTCAATCAGAAATTCAGAACATAAATTGCACATGCCCCTTGTGGTCCATCTCTATTATTGGGGACAAGGACTTTGCCAACAATTTCTAAACTCAGACTGGTAGATGAAACTCCAATAGCCATGCACCAAAAGCGATCATATGAGAAATAAAATGCTTCACTTGAGGTATGAAATGTTGTATTCTTTAGCAAGTACCAAATATATGCTTTAGACCCTGTAATCTTAACATGGTCACATTATGTTTTTCAAGTTTGAGCCAGAAAGATTCTAGCTTTGTTCTCTGTCGAAGTGTATTTGGTAAATAAATGAGATTCATGATGTAATAGAAGATTGTGATGGTCATTTTACAGATACTGAGAGAAAAGGAGAAATATACTGTAATCTCTCAAATAATAACATGCCTTTTTGGAGGTAAATATTAAATTATCTATTTGAAATACATTTTTCCAGGGGCTAACAAGTGACATACTCACATACCCATTTTGAACTACATTGCATTTATCTTCTGTAAGAAGATGAGCCACTTGGATTCTTACCACAGCAAACATTGGGCTTCCCAAATTTGCCATTGGACCCACAATTCATAAATTGATGTACCCATTTGACATTCACTCCAGTGGCATCATAACCATGGGGGCAATATTTGCAGTGGCACAGGTAAAGTGCGTGGTTTTAACAAAACAAGCAGCTTATTTGATTGGAAATCACAACTTTGCCCAAAGACCAAACATGCCAAAAATCATAGTTTCTTCCCTTTCAAAAAGAAAAATCATAGCATTTTACAACATGAATTAGAATTCATTTTTAGATAAGCTTTGTTGCATATTTACTCAGACCTTGCACAAATCTTGCACTGCTTCCGAAGAACTTAGTGAAGGAACAGGTCAGTTATGCCATCACCTCTATCTGAACCTTGAAAGGGTCTTTTGAAAACTATGTTAGCCTGTATGACGATGATAGCTGGGTGTTTAAATTGTTTCAAAGATACTTCAGGATAGAGTTATGCAGTTGCATAGGTAGCCACTAAGGAACTTAGATTTTTGAAATGCACAACTTTCAACGTTGTTCTGAGAAGTACAGCAAAAAACACCAAGCGCCATAACAGGATTACTCTCTGAATGCTTAGATTTTCAATCATAAAGTTTGTTTCGGAGAACAGCTGTTGTTATAATTTTTAGTAGATGCTGACAAAGAAGAAAACATGGAAAAGCAAATGTTCAACTATGCCACTGACTTGTATCTGAACCAAGAAAAAGACCATTTGGAGATGTGTTTAGACAATATGACATTGCTATGTTGGTATTTTTTATTTATACAGTGTCTCCTGTTTATGCATTTGATCATAGATTCATAGTACAACAGATCCTTTTCATGCAATACTACTACAACGTAGCCTGGGCTTACTACAAATTAAGGCATTAAAAATCCAGTGCCGGGCAAACAGAAACCATGTGATTGGCCTGTCTCCTATGAAATAGCTGATGGGTGGAACAGAACACCAAACCAGATCCCTCTCCAGTGAGTAGTGAAATGACACCTGTTCTAATTTGTAAAGCTGGGCCGCATGCTCCCACTAAAGCCTTGACACTCGTCAATTGTCAAGAACCAGCCGAGAGTTTTATGGGATTTGGGGACACAAGGCACCTCGAGTTCCACCAAAAGGGAGCGATAATCATAACAAATTGGCAAATGGCAGGCATCGTAGCCTTAAATTAAGGCCCCAACGCACAAGCATCCAAAAAGCAAAGAAAGGTTGAGAGTTGATGAGCTTACCATCCAGATAGCACTGCACTGCGCTGGGCAGGTGTCGATCAGTTCTTGCCCTTCTCCTTCATGTCTGCGTGCTGAAACCCGTTCCAGAGCTGGAACGCGGCGAATTGGCCCTCGGCCGTGGTGGGCGCCGCAGCGGCAGCGGCGGGCGGGCTGAACAGGAAGGGTATGTTGGGAGCGTCCAGTGGAGTAGACAGCCTCTGGAGCTGGTGGTGGTGGTGGTGGTGGTGGCCGGAGATGTGCGGCTGCGAATTGGACTGAAGGGTCCCCCTACTGTTGACACCCACAAGACCCGAGGACATGGAGAAGTTGAGGTTGTATTCTATGGCGGGAGCCGACGCCGGCGCCGGCGCCGGCGCCGCGTGGACAGGCATGAAATGGTCCTGCAAGAACGAGTAGTGCGTCATCTCAGCGTGCGGCTCGCCGCTGCCAGAGGCGACGGTGACGGCACCACTGGCCAAGCCGAAGTGCTGCGCCGCCGGGGCCATGGCGATGGACGCAATGTTGCTGAGGTGGGGAGCGGGGGTGGCGAAGGCGTGCGCCATCACGTGTCCCCCGCCCTTCCGGGGCTGCGCGAACCCGATGTAGTCGGCGGTGGCGGAGACAGTCGTCGGCTGCTCCCAGGACACCGACGACTGCTGGTGGTGCTTGTGTTCGGCGGGCGCGGCGGCGCTGGCCGCGGCCATCCCCGTGAGCAGCTCGGTGAAGGACGCCGCCTGCGCCGAGGTGGTAGCCGCGGCGCGCCTGGCGGTGCCGTCGCTGGCGTTGGCGGCGGCGGCGGGGTCCTTGTCCTTGTCCTTGTCCCTGGCAACGGCGCTCCGCTCCCTGGCGCGCTCCCGTGCCTTGACCCGGCTCTCGGAGCGGGAGAGCGAGAGCACCGAGCCCTTGCTGGTCTCCGACGTGCTGCTGCATCCGGACCTCGTGAGCTGCTGCTGCTGCTGGTGTTCGTCGTCGTCACCACCGACAGGCGGAGCGTGGTGGTGGTCCTTGGTGGCAGAGGCCGGGTGCGCGGGGAACCCCGCGGCGGCGTCGAGGGAAGGGAGCTTGTCGATGGCGTCGGCGGCGGCCCTGATGAGCCACTCGATGGCCTTGCTGGGCTGGTCGTACCCGAGGCGGTCCTGCAGGTCGTAGAACTGGATGGCGGTGGCGACGGAGAGGCGGACGCGGCGGTCCCGGATGCCCTTCGCCGTGTACACCTTGCTGTGGCGGTCCTTGCCGCCGGACGCCCGCGAGACGCGGTAGATCCGCGAGGCCGGGTGCTGCTGCCCCCACGGCGCCGCGGCGGAACCCGTGGGCGGCAGCACGGTTGCCACCGCGCGGCGCTTCGCCTCCGGCTCCGCGTCCGCGCCCGCGCCTTTCACCCGGCCCCGCTTTCCCCCCGCGGCGCCGCCGGCGCAGCCCACGGTTTCTACCTCCATCGTGACGGCGGTGGCCGCGGACCCTTACCACGTCCCCCCGGCCGGCGCGCCCCGCATTGCCGCCCGCGGCGGCGGTGGCTTCCCACCTGGACGACGGGCGCAATTCCGAGGCCGCGTGCTCGGCGGCGGCGGCGCTAGCGGGTAGGAAGTGATCCGAGTGGTGGTGGTGGCAGTGAGAATGAGGGCGCGCGCGGGACGGGACGAGAGCGAGCGATCGGCGCGGCGGTGGTGGGGGGCCGTCGTCAGATCTGGCGCGGCGAGGGCGGCGGGCGGCGGGCGGCGGGCGATCGGGCCTGTGGTTCGGCGGCGGGGCGGGGGCGGACGGACGGACGGACTCGGGAGGCGAGGTTTTTGGCGGCGCGGGACTGCGGGAGGGAGTGGAGGACTGGCTGACTGACTGACTGCCGCCAGCGATGGTGGTGGTGGCGACTAGTGATGACTGACAGGCGAGGCGAGGCGAGATTTTATGAGGGCCGGGCGGGACGGAGGAAAAGGGGAGCTGGGCTGGGCAGCAGGTGCGCGGCACGAGGCGAGGCGGCAGGCTAGTAGAGTACTGTGGAGGGGAAGGCGTGGCCTGCTGCCGCCTGCCGGTTCGGCAATGGGCAATGGCCACCGGGAACCGGCCGCCCGGGGCGGCGGCTGATCTCTACACTACAGTACTACCGTAGTGACAGTGTCAGGGCCGGCCACTCCCCCCACTGGGACTCTGGGAGCCGTGCGCCCGTGCCGGGCGAATAGGGGATGGGGTTCCGTTCGCCGCCGCCACCGCCACCGCCACCGCCACGCGGCGACGGCGATCTGATCTGACGGCTGATGCGAGGCGAGGCGTTCGGCGCTGTCCAGCCGTGTGTGTGCCTGGCGGCGAAGGCGGATGTGTGATGCGATGCGATGCGATGTCGGCACTCGGGGGAGATTTCCGTGCGTTTCTTTCACCCGCACCACGTCGAGGCCGCGCGAACCATCCGTGGGTCGGGTCAGGCAGAGTCCGTCCACATCCACATCCACATCCACATCCACATCCACATCCATCGCGTTCCGGTTCCCGGTCACACGTACGGGGGAGCCCAACAAAAGCCAAGCGACGAGCGATCGCATCCGCACCTCGCTACCGTGCCCGTGCCTTCCCGTCCGTTTTCTGGCTGGCTAGGCACCTACCGTAGCCCGCGCCGCGTGCCATGCCCCCCTGCGGGCGCACGGTACGTTCGGCCACGCGCGTCTGTCTCTCTCCACTCTCCAGGCAGGAGACGTTGAATCGAGACAGAGCCATTGCGCCCATGCGCACCGGAACGGATCAGATATTCAGATTCCAAACCAGCCAGACAGCCACTGTATGCATTACGGGATTGCCGTCGCATGTACGTACGTACGAGCTTCTGGGATTGTCACCCACATACTGCCACTGCGGCACTGCAAGAAATAAGACAGAGTAAACTTTTACACGTTCGCTTGGATGATAAGTTATGGCACTGTTGGCTCATTTGTTATGAGAGAAAATATTATTCGTTGGTTGAAAAAATACGGTTTATAAGTCAAACGAACAGGACATTCGTCCTTAAATTTGGCGGGTGATGTCATCCTACTCTCTTAACTTTCAAAGTGATATCTATGGACCCTAGACTTGACTAACGGTATCATTTCAATCCATAAACCTTGATAATGATCAACATCGGTTCCTAAACTTGACCAGTGATATCATTTCAGACCCTAAAATTGGTTTTGAGACTCATCCGAGTCCAAATGAGATCTAACCCGATCTATACGCTGATGTAGACCCTAAAATTGGTTTTGAGACTCATCCGAGTCCAAATGAGATCTAACCTGATCTATACGCTGACATGGCACGTTGATATTTAAAAAAATATATTTCATAACTTTTTTATATAAACACGGATGAAGACAAACTTTATATCAAAATTATAGCACTCAGCGGGATCTACAACGTTGTAGTTGAAACATTTTGGAATTGAAACTATTTAGGGTCCCAAAATATTGTTGTAAGATCACAGATTTTGAAATTATCAAACAATCTCAGATGTTAACACGGTGTATTTGAGAGTTATAGTTCTCAATACCATGTACAACTTTGTAGTTGAAAAAAATATTTAAAGTTGTTTAGTGTGCCAAATATGTGTTCTAAGTTTAAAAATAAAAAATTCAAAACACATATTTGGGACACAAAATCACTTCAAATAAAAAAATTTCAACTACGTAGTTGTAGATCGTATTGAGAACTATAACTTTCATATAGACCATGTGAACATATGAGGTTTTTGTTAATTTTAAATTTCAAATTTCAAAATTTATGAACTTAGAACAATATTTGTGACCCTAAACAGTTTTAATTCAAAAACTTTTCAAATACAAAGTTGTAGATCCCGTCGAGAGCTACAATTTTAATATAAACTTTATCTTCATCCAAGTTCATATGAAAAAGTTATGAATTATTTTTGAAAAAGTCAGCGTGACACATCAACATATACAATGGGTTAGACCCCATTTGTATTCGGATGAGATTCAAAACCAGGTTTATGGTCTAAAATGACACCATTAGCCAAGTCTGGGGATCCATAGTAGTCACCTTAGAAGTTTGTGGACTAGAATGATACCATTGGCCAAGTTTAGGGACCTACATATATTACTTTAAAAATTCGAGGATCGGGATAACACCACCAGCCAAGTTACTCAAAGAGAAAAAAAGAAGAATTATCTATTTGGCACTGAAACAAACCAGTGTTTCTATTTGGCACTCGAAAATTTAAACTTTCTTATCTGGCATTGAGTTGAAATTTCCTTTCGTAAATGGCACTGCCGTCCATTTTCATTGATCATCTGTTAGTTGACTGGTTTGACCGTGTGTTTTTTTTCCCTATGTCCGATGTACCCCTTTGTTAATACACACAGAAGACTGAAATTTGGCCGAGCTCCCAAAATCCCAGATCCTGCGCCCTTCTTCCCCGGCTCTGTTGTGCTTGTATGCGTGGCTCGCCACGGCTCCATGGCGGGCGCGAGCAGCCACCACGCTGGAGGCCGCCCGACCCTCGCTTTCGACGAGCAGCGTGCACCGTCTTTTGGGGCGTTACTGCGAGGTGCGCCCTCGTGATACTCTGGCGTGGACATCTCCACAGGCGCCATGGCCGTAGCTTGAGGCCTCTGATGTAGGAAAGAGCGAAGGCCGGAACTCCATCGCCGGAGTGTGGCGCAGCGGGCGGACGACGAGCGCGCTACGGCCAGCCTCCGCCGTCCGGTACCTCACCACCTCCCGAATCATGGGTCATGTGTCACCGGCTGGCTGGTGAGAACTCCATGGGCGCCACCATCTTCTTCGATTTCGGCCAGCTCCTGTGCAGCGCCGTCAATTCTTCTTCTATTCCGGCCGGCTCATGTGGAGCGTCGTCGATTCGCTCATCCTCCGTGTGTTGCCTGGAGATAGCCGCTGCCTGCGCTAGCTCCGGTTGCCGGCAAGGCCGTCCTGGCCCCTACGCGCGAGACCGGCGGCGGCTCGGTGGCTCGCTCGCGCTCTTGCCCGGCAGCATCGTGGCGCCCTGCTCGCGCGCGCTCGCCGGCCATGGCGCGGCTGCCTTCTCGTCTAGTGGTGGCGCAGCAGCACACAGGCGAGCAGCTTCTTCTTGGTCTTCTCTGCTCTCTCTCTCTCTCTCGCTCCAAGCTCGCGCGAAGCGCCACTGAGCAGCAGCAGAGCTCCGGCCAGCCGCTGCCATTCCGATTCGCGAGCGCCGCCACAATCCGGCCCAAGCTCGCCCCCTTGATCCACCTTGACCTGGAGCTCCGCCCCACCATGGTCACGCGGGAGCTCCGCCCCGCCATGGCTGCGCAAGAGCTCCGGCGAGGCCCCTTCCCAACTGCAATTTTCACGAAGCTCACCTTCTCATCGAAGCCGTGGGGACATGCACACGCTGCGAGGGCAGTAGTGGTGCCAAGAAGCCTAGGGGAGGAACGGCCATGTGGGCGCCGTCACGGGGGTCGTTGTCAGGGAGCGGGCGGCGGACCTGGCGTCGGCGCATCGCAGACTACCTCGCCGACGACTAGACCGACGTGTCGGACAATGAGTCCTTCATCACGGCGGCGCTGCGACGGAAATACGTCGCCGCCTCCCGTTCCGCGGATGGGGAATCTTTGTCGGCGTTCCTCGTGGGACGAGAGACCTCGTGGAGGTGATGTTGAGCTGGACGAGAGTCCATGGTGGTGCGTAGCCGTCCGCCCACCACCACAATACTGTATGGGACGCCCACAACAACGTCGCCGCCCGACGCTGGGCGGCGCCGCAGTAAGCGCACGCGCGGACGGCCGCGAACTGAGCTCGAGCTGGTGTCGTCGATGTCGCCGCGGATCCGCAGGAAGTTCGCGTGGCTGCGGTCGCTTTCGCGTCGCCGCCGCCCCCCTCCCTCGCCCGAGAAGCGCGGCCGCGCGGCATCTCGGACCAGCAGGTGGGTGGGAGGCGGCTTGGCGGCGGCCCGCGGCGGGCAGCGTCAGCGCGCTTCGAACGGTCGCGGTCCGGGCCCGGCAGCGCTCAAGGGCCTCCGGTTCATCACCGCCACCACCACCGCGCCGATGGCGCGCGCGAAGGCTCTGGCGCCCCGTGGAGGAGCGCTTCAACGCGTTCGCCACCGACGGCCTCCTCGCCCGCGACGATTTCGGCGACTGCATCGGTACGCACGTTCGTTCGTTCGTCCGAACTAGCCATAAACTGCTGCAAACAAGGGTATTCATGTCTTTTTGCCAGTCACTTGACACCGTTACTGTCCTAAATGGACGACAGTGTCATTTACGAAAGGAAATTTCAACTTGATGCCAGATAAGAAAGTTCAAATTTTCGAGTGTCAAATACGAAACACTGGTTTGTTTCACTGCCAAATAGATAATTCTCAAAAAAAAAAACGCTGCATTCAAATGTGCCTACACTCCTACAGTGCCATGAAGCATATCCTCCTTCGGTCGTAGGAAGGCTGGCCCCTCTAGATGCTCCACCATGGATAGTATCTTAA